GTGTCTTCTTCAGAGGTTTTTGTGTTGTTTCCTTCAGTAGTTCTTGGTGCTGCGCCACCACGGGCGGGGGCAGGTTGGCGACTGACGGTGCGGTGTGAGTGAGAACCACCAGCTGAAATGGAAACAAATGTTCTGAATTCTGGTCCCCAACCAAACCGAGTCTACCGGACCGTCAGCTGTGAGAACAACCTTACTGACCAGCTGAGTGCATCCAGTACCACGGGTTAAACACCATGTTTCAGGAGATCAAACTCATCGCGTCACTTGGGTGTTCCTCTGGGGTCCATCCTGGGACCACAGACATTTATTGTTCACATCAACAGAAAAAGTTCTGCTTTATGCAGACGACACTGATAAACTCTGCTACAGCTCAGAACAAACTGTAAACCTGACGCCAGGAAGACTGTTTAGGATTCTTGTGCAAATTAGGATGACGATCTTCTCTCTATGGAGCGTCTTCCACTCTACAAACAAACGTTTCTTCATCCTGATGAGTCAAACAGAGAGGAGCTGCCCGGTTACAATCCAGCTGGTCCTGATCGTTTCTCTGACGTCACCGACAGGAAACTGAGATCAACCCATCACGCTGGCTGCACACGGACAACTATCAGCATCCATTCATGTGAAAATGCATCTGAGGCGATGCGTTCAAAGACATTCAGACAGTCCGACAAACAGCTCACTCGGGTTTTATTTCAAATGTTTCCAGTGCGGCTGGTTTCTTCTAAAAGTCTTGTTTTTAGTTGCAGGAACTGGTTTATTCTTTGACGGGATGTTAATTCAGTAAGATATTACGATGTTGTTTTAAGTTGCATTCATTGGTCTAAAGTGACGTTTATTTGTTCCAAGACTTTCTAAAGTCTGACTGTTTGTCCCCCTCCGAGGGCCCCTGGGGGTCGCGGACCCCCCCCCCCGTCTCATGTTGCTCCACAAGTCTGAGAAAGCAGATATTTCTTAATGTTTGGAGAGAAAAACCACAAAAAACGTGACTCCTGTATGTAACACGGACCTGCATGTACACACACACACACACACACACACACACACACACACACACACACACATATATAAACAGTGAGGGTCACACAAAGACTGGAGTCAGAACAGAGTTAACTGGACCTGTCTCAGTAGGTCAACAGAACCTGGGTCTAACCGGATGGTGTTCTGTGATCAGCTGACGGTTGCTAAGCAGCAGCAGCTGTTGTACAGATGTGCTGATCAGCTGGGCTGCACACCCTCACACTTCTGCAGAAGGACACGGTTCATTCAGGAAGACTCTGTCGAGACGTTTTACTGTCCTCGTGCCTCCTTCAAGAACAGAAGAGCGAGCAGAACCTCGGCAGGTCAGACGGGTTTTATCGGGATCAGATCTGAAAACAGGGCGGGCTCGTCTCCGTGTGGACGCTCCTGAACTCTGAAAACA